AGGAAACGCAGATGAGAAACCACATGAAACCTGAACTGGGCTTTTGACTGGAGATGGTTCAATAACAGCCATTGTGTTTACTTTATTCCTAGACACATATTTCGAATTTAATCACACTGAAGTCTTAAGTGGCATAATTTTATTAAGCATAGAATTGATTGAATATGATTTTTGTTTTTTCTTTTAAAATTACTCCAGATTGGACTGAATTGATTCTAAAAGTGTTCAGGACCAGAACACGTGGTGGAGTCACTGGTAGGGGTAGAAAAGATCCCTGGGTAAGTAGGTTCTTATTTTCCTGGAATTTCATACTGTTTCTAACAGGGAATGCCGGCTGCAGACCCCCTCTCTGAAAGCTCATATTTATAACAGAACAGGATAGTGTTTTCTGTAGTGTTTTTAGGTGTGAAACGAGGAAACCGAATTTAGGAAAATAATCATGTTATATTTACTTCCTATAAAGAATTAATTCCTTCTAACAAGCCATTGAACTCATCCAAAAATGACTGATTCTACCACTCAAATATCCATCAGATTCATCCAGCTCCCCCCAGCATAAAGGATCTTCTGTCTGGACTATGCAGGAGCCTCCTATTGGTCTCTGGGCACCTCCTCTAGGTCTGGGTGGTGGTCATGGCCTGGTGCCCACCCAGCAAGCATCTTCCCAGTCCTTGCTAAGAAGACCCTAGAACTCAAGGACCCAGTCATGGCAACCCCTCTCCTTGGTACAGGCAATCTGTAATTCCTCCCCTCCTTGAGAATGCACTTCTCCGAAGGCATTGAGCCATGGCTGTAGGAAGGAAGTAGCCGCTCAGTGTCCCTGGGGCAAGACTCACATACCTGCTCCCCTTCGGTGTCTCTTCCCACATGTTAAGAACATGCAGCATCTTCTGAGCAAGGCAAATTGAAATGGCGACACCCGGAGAGACCGCCCCTGACTTACGATGGTATAGCTCATGATTTTTTGACTTTACTGTGGTCTGAAGGTGATACACATGCAGTAGGAGCCGTACTTGGAGTTCTGAATTCTGACTTGCACCTGGGCCAGCGATATGCGGTACGATACTTTCTGGAGACGCTGGTGAAGGCAGCTTCCGACAGCCAGAGCCACCCTCTGCAGGGTGCTGTGCTTGACAGGTTACACCAGGGAGCCACCGCTGCACTGTAAAGCCGGCGTTGTGACAGAGGACTGTGCCCGAAGGGGGCTAAGGGAAGTGTCTGAGCACGGTAGGGCAGACTGGGCTGAGCTGTGGTGCTGGCTGGGTGAGTTATAGCGGACGCCGTTCTCTTTTCTTTCCTTTTTCCTAAAATTTTTGCTACAGGACATGTGTGTTCACTAGACACAGAAAGAGAGCAAGTGAGCAAGCACCCCCAGGGGGATGGCCACACTGCAGTCCCTTCTCCATTCTCCTCTTGGGGTTTTGGCACACATGCACATGTGCCTGGCATGTTTTCACGCTGCCGCTCTGAGACTTGAACTACGGAGTCGGCCATGTAGGATCCAGCGGCCTTAACCACTATACTACCAGCTGGCCCGGATACATTTTCAACTCGTGGTGTCTTGAATTTACAATGGGTTTATCGGGGTGTAACCCCATTGTAAGTTGAGGAGCATCCGTACTGTGACACAAAGAAGCTTCTGGCAAGGACGTTAGAGCTGCTATTTTCTGCTCGTACAAAGAAACTGAAGCATGATTTTAAGCAAACAAGATTTGCTGATCTCTAATGCATTCCGGAGTGTTTACTCACCACCTTTCAGAAAATTAGAATTTCTGTTTAAACAAAAGATTTTCTTCTCATAATCTATTTATGGCTGACATTGTAAAAGTCATTTCATTACGTGACTCATGAGCGCCAAGTGCAGAGGGTCAAAGGCAGAGGCACGATGAGGGCCACAGGGCTGGGAGATGAGCACTCGCTCGAGTTTTAGGTCCCTTCTTCATAGGAGGGCCTCCCCAAGGGCAGGGGCAGCTAGGGGAGTGAGGGAGCGAGGGAGCGAGGAGGCAGGGGAGGCAGTGGCAGAGAGGGGAGGGGGGAGGGAGCAAGGGAGAGGGGACACAGTGCTGGGACCTAGCCAGTGTCCATCCCAGTCCTGCGATTGGTGTTCCCATGCCGTCCTGGCACCCCCTGTGCTCAGGGCAGTCCAGCCCTTAGGAGAAGGTCTCCCGGCCCTGGCTCCAGGATATGCCTGCCTCACCCATCGGCGTGGAGAGGCAGTAGGGCATGGTGTGTTCAGGAGGAGATCCTGGAGTCGGAAGGTTGGGGCCAACATGCCAGTTTTCCCATTTACAAGCCGTGTAACCTGGAGCAATAACCTAAGCTTTCTGGGCCATAGTTCGCTCACCCGTGAAGCGTGTGGATAATAGCTATGGTCTCGCCGAGGGCTGTGAGAGGACTGCACCCCTACCATAGCGCTTCAGATGGACCTGGCGTGGAGTGGCTTGCTGAAGAAGGCAGTCCCCTTCTCCTGACAGGTTTTGGTTCAGAGACAGAAATGTGACGGTCCCCACCCAAATGTCCGGGCTGACTGGGTCTTCCCCAGCCGTCCTTTTGTGAGAAGCCCCGCCTCCATTCCATTGAAGCTGGTATCTGGGGGTCTCTGATGTGCACCCCAAAGCCCCCCTAGCAGTGATGTCACTACAGAGGCCCGAGCCAGGGCTGGGCGCAGTTTCTCAGCAGTTACTCCGCAAACTTGGGACCACCCACGTGTGACCTGGGGGAAGAAAACCTACAACCCTCTGGGAAGTCCACGGACATTCTCCAGAGGCCAAAGAAAACCACATACTCTTTTTGTTCTGTTTTTGAGAGATGTTTGCTATAGGGTATGTGTGTTGCTGAAGAGACAGAGAGAGAGAAGAGTAGAAATCACTCCCCAGGGAGGACAGCCACACGACAGTCCCTTCTCCTCAACTCTCCTCTTGGGATTTTGGGCATGTGCACACACACAAACCCAGCGTGAACAGTCTGGGACTCGAACCACAGTCGACCATGTGGGGGAGTCCAGCACTTTAATCACTACGCCACCTGCAGCCAGCACCACTTACGCACTAATGAAGTTGGCCTAATGGTACCTTTGGTAGATGTTTAGTCTCAGGCCGGCCTCTGCCATTGCCTTTTGGTATTAAGAACCCCCCACACCCACAGCACAGGGCAGGAAAGTGCCTAGGCCCTGGCTCTGCCCTTCGTGTCTAACGAACAGATTGCCCGGGTCTGCTCGGCACCACGTGGCCAGGTGGCTGCGCCCTCAGCCTTCCTCCTGCCCACGGCCTGTTACTGCGACAAACAGCCGGTCTTCCCAGTCCACTACTGACACCTGACGGACATCTGCCTGGCCTGCCTGGGCCACGTGGCCACCGGTGGGTTAGGGGTGCTGTGTGGGAAAGGGGTGCTGTCATGTGACCCTAATAAGTCCCATGTCTGACAAAGTCGGGACGAGGCGGTCCCACTGCAGCTCCAAGCGGCCAAGCCAACTTCTCAGGCTTCTACCGCCATCGCACTACCTAGGCTGGCCGTAAGTGACACGTACTCGCATGCCTGCCCACACCGCCGCCTCTCACGTGCACCCAGGAGCTCGGCTCCACGAGTTGCGGGTGTGCGTGTTCCTCTCTCGCATGTCCCATTGGCTGAGCTGAGTCACAGGCCACGACCAGTCCAGAGCGTGGGCCCTAAGCTCCGTCCACATGGTCCTCGCCCGGGTGTGGACACCCACCACGCGCAGCCAGGGCAGTGAGGAACCGGGGCCAGAGCCCTCCTCACCTGCTACTTACAGTTGCGCCTGGTCATGGACTCGGCCCTCCTGCTGTGGCGGGTGTCCCCATGGCTAGGCTGCAATAGAATAGAATGACGTGACCGGCTGCACCTTTTAAATATTGGGGAGGGAACATTTGACAGACGGAAAAACATGAAGTTCACTGTTGAGTTAAATAAATAAAAATAAAATACTGATCTGTCACCCCAGAGACTCCAAGGAGGCCACGTGGGGACCTCATTAGCGTCCCTCTCCCATGGCCCCCAGCAGCTGTTACCATGGAAAACGGCAGAAAAGGTGGGACACGACCACCCTGCCTGCTGGGAATTTATTTTTAAAAAAGAAAAATTCATTATAGAGATAGTGCATGAATATGTATACCCGTTAAAAATTCAAAAAATGAAGAAATGTGTTTAAAAACAAGAACAAAACTCCCCCCTCACCTCGCTCCTGCCTCCCCGCAGGTACACACTGCAACAGTCTTGGGGTGACTGCCATAGACCCCTCCTTTCTTTTTTCCTTTTCTTCTTTTTAAACTTAAACTTATTTATATTCATTTACTATACATCATCATAGCATCGAAAATGAGATTTTCCATCCAGGATACACCATATATTGGCTCAATAAAGCACATCAACATGTGTTATCCACCTGGACGGCCAAGCGGAAGGACACGGAGGGAGGGGGAGGCAGAGTGTTGATCAGCCAGCGCTGCCTCAGGGCCCCGCCCTCTTCCCTCACCTGTGAATGCCATCCCTGATCCGCGGGGTGGGCTTGCTGGAAGGGGATTCCGCCAGTCCTCCCTGGTTGCATTCGACCTCCTGGGGCTTCTGGGGCACCCCCAGGGCTGCATTGCTGCCTGCCCGCACAGGTGGGATGGACTGGCCCTGCCGTGCTCTCCCTGCGCTCCCTTCAGTAAGCTTGAGTCTCACTCCTTGCAGGTGGTGAGGGCTGGTGCCCCCCCCCCAGTCGGGGCATAGCTCCTATCCCATAATAGTGAAATGCAGCGCGGCTTCTTTCCTGGCCAGGAACGGGGTCGCCGACTGGAAAGGAAGTGGGGGGCAGAATGGTCCAGGTCCCAGAAGCCTTTGCTGCAGCCCCCACGCCAGGCTACGTGACTGCGGCCTGCGCCCGACCTTCCCCTTCTCTTCAGTACCAGGGTCTCACACCCCTTCTCCCTGTTCTCCGCCTGTGTCGCCGGTTATAAAGTCCCTGCCGCAATGGATCGGGCCTCAAAACGGGAGCAGCAGGGCCACTCCCACTCGTGCTCCCTGGCCTGCTAGGGGCACCTTGCATCCCGGCGCGGCCCCCAGGTCCTGCGTCCTGCCAGGGGCTTCCCGGCGCGGCCCCTGGTCCCACGTCCTGCCAGGGGTCCTGCCTGCACAGAGCGTTCTGAGGGTGCTCCTGTGGAGTGTTAATAGAATCCAGGCGTGCTGGCCGGTGACAAGAGCTGCAGATTGCTGGGCCAAGCCGGGAGGAGTTCCTGGAGGGAAATGGACCAGGACAGTCAAACCTAGGGGCCAGGAGGGACCGGTGGCTCCTGGTGCGTCGCTATGGCCTCTGCCTCCGTCATCCCCATGTTCTGTGTCTGTCACAATCGCCTCCTTAGAAGGACCCAGGTCACTGGATTTAGGGTCACCCTAACTCAGTACAGCCTCTCATCACATCTGCACGGAACCTGTTTCTAAATACGGTCTGTTCCTAGCCAGCAGCCTTAGGACTTGGACGCCCCTTCCTGTGGACCCAGTTCCACCCCAGAGCACTCTCCGGTACACCCCAGCTGCGGTAGTAAACGTCGGCCTGGTGTTCCAGCCAGGCTGGTGTTTTTGCCGGAGAGCCTGCTCTTGCCGCTGGAACCCGTGCTGCCACCTGCTGCAGGGACTGACACCACTTGGCGGCCCCAGTTCTCAATGGTCGGGTATACACAGAGGGTATACACATCTCCCAGCCCTCCCGCACCCCTGTCGGTAGGACGGCTGCGAGGTGAGCACTACTCTGGCTCCCAGGGCTCTGCAGGGGTGGAGCTCTGGATGGCCGCAGTGGCAGTGCCACACAGACCACCCTTCTGCTTTCTGGTCTCAGCTTCACCTGATTCCCCCGTGTTTCTGTCCCCTTTCCAACACTTAGGCCTGAGTCGGCCCTGCATTGCTTCTGGGGAATGCCTGAAGCAGACACTATTAGATGCTTTGCCCCCCTTGCTGTGTCAGGAAGGAGGTGGTGGGGATTAAAAGCATGCATTTTCTCCAGGTACCCAGTAGGAGCTGGCTACAACCCTGCACTGCAGAAAGGCAGACGCTGGAAAGATCTTGTATCTGGGAGTAGGAGAAGCATGCTGTCACTAACTAGCTGTGTAGCTTGGGTGGGGCAGGCCACTTAACCTCTCTGTGCCTCTGTCCCCCTGTTAGAACCGTGATGGGGAAATAGACTACCTCTAGAATTCTTTTGTGCTTGTGGGACTGTGGGATCTGCAGCCTGCTCCTCCTCATCTTGGACTTTCCATAGCAACATCTTTGCCTGGTTCATCTATTTATTATAACAATTTTGATTTATTAATGTTTCCAAGGCAGAAAAGGAGTAGAAACTGGGGTTTGTCTCCATGGGGCAGGCTCATGTTTTTTGCATGAATTCAAGAAAACCTGATGTGATAATGCAGTGGAAAGTTTTATCATTGTAAAAGAAAAGAGTGATGTTTAAAGCTCCCATTTGTAACCCACTTGTATTTGGCAGCGAGCAGCAAGGTGAAGGGGGTGGACGGGCTTAGAGGTCAGAGGTGCTGCTTGAGAGGCGGCTCTGCCTTTTCTCAGCTGTGTGAGCCGGGGCGAGATTACTCATTCGTCCAACCAGTAACTGTTTGTGGGGTGCACCAGGCACTGTCCGGGGCTCTGGGGAGTCACAGGCGAGTGGAACTGAACAGTGCTTGTTCTTCCGGGGCGTACAGAGCGGGAAGGGGAAGTTGCTAGTGGAAGCACCACACTGACACACATCCGCACTGCACAGAAGTTCACAGAAGTTAAGGACAGGCTGATATGAAAGCAACAGGCGAAGTCCTGGACCGGGCCTGTGAGACGTGACCAGAACGCCCCGCTGGTGAGATGCCGAGCAGAAATGTGTCTGTAGGTGTTAGCGGGTAGTGGAAGGGTAGCAATGCAGGCCATAGAAACAGCACATGCAAAGGCTCTGGGGTGGAGAGGAGTCTGGCATATGCCAGAAAGAGCTCCTGAGCGTTACTTACCCTTCTGTTTAGAAACAAAGGACTATATAAATACTCCTGCCTTTCTAGTCATTGCAAAAGTCAAATGACAGCCAGTATGGACAAGAGTCTCTCAGGCAGGTCTTCTCCCCTTTATTTTTGAGAGTTAGGAGTAAATTATGCAGGCTCTCTGCCATCCCTTCTAGCAAAGTGGTCCTCTGAGTTTGGGGACGCCCTGGCTCCTGGGGCTTCAGTTGCACAACGCTGCCCTCTGCTGGAAGTCAGGCGGCCCTTCTGCAAGGGCAGGACACCCCGCATCCGGGATGATTTCACACCTGTCCTGCTGCCAATCTGTGGGTGAATTTGGGGTTTCCACTCACACTGAACAATCACTCCACCGTCCTTCCCTCCTCTCTCTTTTCTCTTCACCCACTAAATGGGTGCTCAAGCCCCACCCTAAGCCCTGCACATTCATGATCTATTTGATCTGCAGAACAAAACCAGAGGTAAATATGGCTCTCCCCTGCCCTGAACGGAGTGTCAGGAGGCTTAGAATGCTAAAGTGACTTCTCCAAGATCAAGAGCAATGAAAGTGGCCGATTCATAGCCTATGACCTGTGCGTAGGATCCTGGGCATGGTTTTTAAACAGAGGACCCTGCATTTTCACTTAGCACTGCCTCCGCAGCCGTCTTGGGGCCCGCCCACCCGTTAGGTGGCAGGTTCTGCAGTTGGTGCTGGGCTCACGCCAGAGCTGCTTCATTCCAAACCCAGTGCCCTACTGACTCCTCCGGGGCTTTTTCTAGAATGTACATCTGTCACCTCCCTGGTTAGCCCCAAGATGGCTCTCCATTACCTGGGGATAAAGCATCTTACTTCCTAATGCAGGGATTCTCAACCTGCTTGGACACACAGGGGCAGGAGAGTTTGGGAAAGTGCTGATGTTCTGGGCGCACTGCCCAGATGTTGGCAGGTGGGCCCCAGCATTGCCGTAAGTTTTCCAGATGAATCTAATGGGCAGCCAGAATGAAATACCATTGGTGTAGGCCTGGCACAGGTCCTGGCATTCAGTTGGTGCTTACTAAGTGTCTCCAACATTTTAGAGCCACAGATTGGCAGGCTGAGGTTGAGAATTAAATGGAGTCATGAACAAGAGAGATGTACCTTCGGCTTTCCTATTCATGTTGGAAGAGGAGCTCAGAGTTCCCCGGGGAACAGGGAAGCTATCTGGGGTTGGCGAGATGGGGGTGGGGACGTGAGCAGGACCGAGAGAGAGAATGGGGAAGCTGTGGAAATTTGGTGCACCTTCCTGAACTGCGTGTCTGGTTACTGGTGAACATTACGTTCACTTTCCCAGGAAATAGCACCCAATTCCACTTAGGCAACTCTCTGGCCCTATTCTCAGTTCCAGTGCTTTGATGAGTGAAGGGTTCATCCCATCCCTGGTCCCAGTGGAAGGCACTGACTCAGAGCTGGCCAATCAGATGATTTATTTCATCCCTCTGGGCTTCTGTGATTGGCTCAGAGATGGGCATGTGTCCCAAGCCTGTCCAATGAGATGCAAGCCTGGGACGTTGGTGGGAACTTGGGCCCAGAGCCGCTCTTTCTTGAGAGGTTGGTGCCTGTGAGAGTTGGATGAACTCTGGAGCTGCTGCACCATTTCACCATAATGGCAAAGCAACACACTGGAATGCAGAGTGGACTGTGAGTTTGTGTGGACACCTGGATTTGGCCATGCCTAAATATACCCCAAACTCCCAGGTGTCAACAATGTCCTTCCTCGCTTCAGTGAGCTGAGGCAGGTCACTGTCACTTGCAGCCCAAAGCTCTGGCTAAGGAATGTCAGTCTCCTGACCAAAGTTCTCTGCTGCTTAGTTCCTGAGTACCCTCCAGGGGCTAGTGGGAGCTGCATGTCCAGTCCCCAGTACAAACAGAGACAAATGGTACCCGAGTCTAGGGAGCCCGCACCCCAGGCCTTGCCTTTGGCTAAGATGGCATCCAGGGAACTCGTCTCGGTGCAAGTGCAGACCGTTGCTAGAACTCTGACCACCGGTTCCCAGTATAAACGTGTCTAGTCATCAGAAATCTGCTGAGCGTCTGCTTTGTGCCAGCCCTGCACTGGGTGCGGAACTTGCAGAGGGTGACGTTTCTGGACCAGTCCAGAAAAGCCAGTGCAGCCCCTTAGGCGATTTTCCTAACTGTAGGCTGCAGGGTGTGAAGTACTCTCTTTACTCAAGTACTGTTATTTTTTACAATTGTATTATCATTATTTTTCTTTAACTTGATGTAGGGGATGTGTGCTCACCAGAGAGGGATGGGGCGGGGGCGGGGGAGTGAGAGAGCAAGCTTCGGGTCCAGGACTTGAACTGCGGTCTGCCATGTGAGAGTTCAGCACCTCAGCCACCACGCCACCTGCTGGGCCCAAGTATTGTTGTTATTATTTTACTTAAATGGTTGTAAGAACGCTTAAACCTATCTCACACGTTAATAAATGGGTTGTAGGTGGCCATATTTTACTGCATTGGTCACGGGATGAAACTACTGGCAAAAAGAAGAAACACATGCAATAATTTAAATTAAAATTTATTTTATTTTATTTTTTTAGTTTGCTATAGGGTGTGTGTGCTTGCTGGAGAGAGGCAGAATAAGTGAGAGGAAGGAGAAATGAGAAATTGCCCTTCGGAGGGATGGCTGTGTGGCAATCCCTCCTCCTCTATTCTCCTCTCAGGATCTGGGGCACACACACACATACGCCTGGTGTGTCTTTCAAGCCCCTGGGTCCGGGACTCAAACTGCGTAGTCAGCCATGTGGGACCCAATGACGTCACAAGCACACCCCCAGCTGCTCCCTCCCCACCTTTATGCTAAATTTTGGCTGCTGCTGGACGCTTCCACAGGGATTCTGAGGGCAGTGCTGGCCTCTTTAAGGCTTTGGGTGTCGCTAGCATGGGTCCTTTGGAGGACAGCTTTCTTCTGAGTGGCTGGCCTGTCTTAGTGCCTGGAACCTCCCTCTCCTGCTCCTCATGTTGGCTTATGTCACCCACGTGCACCGAGTTCGGTTAAACAATGGGCTGTGTCCAGATGGAAAGAGCAAGGTCCAGGTGGATGCATCGGCTCTGTGTTTTGGGCAACATTTAGTACAGAAATCCAGCTTCCAGCCTATGGTGCAGGATAGTTGGGAGGGGGTCAGGAGGGTGAGGCAGCATGAGGCGGGACAGGATCGAGAGCAGTGTCTCCCCGGCTGTGTCCACGCAGCACTGGCCTTTCCTATGCTTTGCAAACAGAC